GTAAGCGTTCATGTGGTCACGAGGAGGCATGATTAGCAAAATCAAGTACCAATTACCAAATGAATCAGACCACAAAAGGTCCTTGTTCCATGCATATGCATTATGGAGAATTGGAGATGGATATGGATCATCATGAAAGAATGGACCAGATTTTAGTTCGGCTCGAGGTACGGGGAACATGTTACATCTTTGGACCAGTTCTCTGTCCCTCACTCCGCCGCCCACCATCTCCGACCCAATTTCAACACCGGTTTGAAATTAAAAAGTAGCCATTTCGTTTAATTCGATAAGAATATTTAAATTATTAATAATAATAATTATAAATCATCAAATTAGAGAAACTATTTTAATATTTCCGTTTTTGGTCAGTAATATTTTTTTACACCATTTTATTTTATTTTTTTCAAAAACCATTTTAATATTTCTGTTTCAATAAAATACTTTCTCAAGCAGATTTCAAACTTATCTTAGGCTATGTTTGAATTAACTCTTTTTGATACTATTGATATTTGATAGTTGATATTTGATGATTAATAATTATTATTATTTATAATTTAAAATATTTAATCCATTTAATTAAAACTAACCATCTATAGTTATTTTTAAAAGGTTAAAACCAAACACTCCCTTAGTTATTGCAAGAAGCGTTCCTTAGCCTTGAGTGTAACAGAGGAGAGTTTTAACCTCTTTCATGGCTGAAGCTGCTGCTTTGCTTGTGGCAGCTCAGTTGGCTCTATGTATGCAAGTTCAAAATTTTATTTTTGAATCAAATTGTAAAGTCTTAATTGAATGTATAAATGATGTAATCAAACTGGTACCTTGGGAGGCTTCCACTATAGTATATGATTTGTGTAGGATAAAGGAATTATACATTGGTTTTGAGTTTTGTTTAATTCCTAAAAATGATAATATAGTTCTTGACTAATTGGCTAGGATGTCTATTAAGGGTAGATACCCTGTTAACTAGAATATTAGGCCTCTTGATGCTCTGCGAGTGTTATTAAGTTATGATATGAAGTATATGTAAGGTGTATTTGTATGAAATATAATGAGTTTCTTATTTATAATAATAATAATAATAATAATAATAATAATAATAAAAAAGCGTTCCTTGGCTTTCTACATTTTTTTTTTTTGAACATTTTTACCATAGAGCCGGTAGAACCGTTACCCTTTGGGAAAGGGAGAAATGAACCTTCAATTACCCATAGGCCAGGTTCCTTGGCCTTCTACATTACCCAAATAAATGCTAGTGTAAGATATAAAAGTTTCCTATTTTGTAATATTGCTCAAATAATTAATGATCACAATTATAAACCATTATATTACACAAAACGATTTTAATATTTCTATTTTAGTTAGTAGGATCTTATTTTCTTTATGCCATTTTAATATTTCTGTTTCAATAAAATGCTCTCTCAAACACAATTCAAGCTTATCATAGCACATGGCAGTAAGCGTTCCTTGACATTGTACATTACCCCGGTAAATGTTAGTGTATGATATGAGTTTTATGTTTTATAGTCTGAATTGTACAATACTTTTTTATTATTTAAAAAATATATAAACAAAATGGTAATGGCCGATAAATTAAACCAGGCGGCAGCCACGGCAGTTTCTTACAAACAACCCTCCTCAAAGCCCTTATTTACCCCACTATAACTAAATACCTCATAATAAAAATTTTTTACTCGGTTCTTTCACTTGTTGATCTTCTAAAGGGTATACTGAAGCCGAAGGAACTACCCCTTCCCAATCTCTTTGAGTCAGTTTCCCTATAACTACTACTATTAATACTACCACTACCTAACTTTCTACAATGTTTAGTCGTGTCAGAATGGAAAAAAGGATCACCTCTTTTGCCTTCCACATCTGCCAGCCTGCTATTATCATGCTCTTTAGCCGAACAAGCAAAACCAGTTTGAGGCCCGCTTGTTTCCCGGGGACTGCAAGTCTTGCGGTCTAGGTTGGCAACAGATGAATTCCCTGAGTATGATGGGGAAGAAGAGGATGAGGAAGATGAAGAAGCATCTGAATCGGAAGAATTCCTCCATGATCTGCTCCAACTGCCCCCTGAATCACAGAATATGAACTCAGATAGATCATCCATACTGGTAGAATCCAGAGTGCTGTCAGTACTGCATGAACTTTCATCGGAATTGCTGCTAAGGAGAGAAGAATTGTCACTTGACGAATCCTCTTCTAAAATCCTTTGCAGCTGTTGGAATTTTGATACAAACAATGCAATGCTTGATGGATCTGAAGAAACGAAGTTAGATTGGAATTGAGGACCAGTATGCGTGGAAGATACTGAACATGATGAAGGACTTTCTGATTTACTTCTCATATCAGAAGATATCATTTTGCTCCTAATCAATCTTGGGGCCCTGGGTGAGCACCTGCAAGGAAATTTGTCAATAAATTAAATACTGCAATAACAAGAATACAAAAACTCTAATCTATGTAGAAAATAATGCAACTGAGATCTGGTACCTAGCATAAAGAAGCATGTACGCCCCTTTTGTTAAGACTCTTTCAAGTTCCACAGCTGTTACCTAAGAAATCATGGACAGATAAATTTAGACATGAGTTGTAATGAAAATTTGGGTTCAGCTGCATGCAATACAAAACAAACACATGGTAAAGATGGTTGAGGGCATACTGTACTGTCATCAATCTTGAACCACTTGTTTTGTATATTTTTAACATAACAGACATAATGACCAGAAAATGCAGCATTCATGATATCCAAGTGCACCACCACTCCATAAAGCCTGTACACAGGTGATCTATCACTACTGTCACTCATAAATGGTGCCAAGTTCAGAATCTCAGGGAATTGAATTGATTTATTGAGCTTCCCAAATTTTCCTGACTGCAAAATTATGCAAGTTAAATGGCAATCACAGTCACAAAAACAGAGAGATTTAGAGAAAAACATAATCCTCTACAGGAAGAAGATTACTTGAAATCGCTTCAAAGCAATTGTAAGGACATTGGGAGCCTCTAGTATTGTCAACTTCTTTTTGGCCTTCTCATAAGATTTGCACCTAAGAAAGAATGGTAGAAAGAAATTGCATACTTTAGGCAAAATATAAAGAACCTGGTAAAAGAAGATGCCAGACATCATTCAAAAACATACCCATGATCTTTTTTATCAGAATACCATCCAAGCAATTATTAATGACAAGAAGTGCAACATAAAAGGAAAAATGCATATCTAATCAAAATTTATGATGAAAGAAAAAAATTGGAAGTTATGACAATAGTCAATCTCTAAAATGATTAAGTAAAATTCCAATTACTCATACTTTGGTAAATGAGCTGGCTTTGGACAAGCAATTATCCAAAAAATAAAGTCAGTTAAACTTGTTTGTCTCCATTAACAGATAAATGAAAACACATGATACAAGGATTAATTAAAAAATTTAGGTTTAATGTCCTATTATGTAAAAATGTGAAAGATCTCACAGTATCATTGCTGAAAAAGTTAGATTATCATGAACCAGACAGACAAACATTCAGGTTTACGAGTAAATCAGAACAAGAAGGCAGGTTTTACACTCCTCATAATTATTTTTAGGGTTTTAAAACAAGGCAAGTAGGTAACTGGAGCCAACCTGCTACATTGGTACTTGTTTTCTCCATCCAGAATCTCAGTCCTCGTAAACCGCTTAAGAGCCTCTTCCAAAGTCCCTATGTCCCCTTCGATCTCAACAGTAAGGTCCATCATTCTTTCCTGACGTTCAGACTTCTCTTGACACTTCATGCATCTTATCTGGAGAAATAATAAGAAATTTACATCTATCATTAGCATTCAATCACGGAGTTCTCAGAGTCAAAAAAGTTGATGAACGTGAAAACACCAATGGGGAGAGCAACAAAATTGATTGGTCTTTATGAATCACCTTTGACCGAAGGTAACCACCAAATGTTAGGCCTATCAAAGTTGTTTCTTCGTCTGAAGATCCTGTCATATTTACCCCAACTTCCTTGAGCCAAACTGATTGCATGGTATCAATAGCATACCTGCCAACTCAATCCGTTGATCAACTAATGCAACTCATCATACAAAATGAAAAAGAAGAAGACTCAACAGCTGTAACTCACCTTAGGAACTCATGAGCATCTTCTTCTTTCCCATTACCCAGATGACTTCCAATATTTTGGAGTTGGGACAATATCCCAATAGGGGATAATACAGATTTCCCTTCCTTTGCCTTCAAAATTAGATTTTCAAACTCACGCATGAAACATTCTTTCTTTCCACCTAATACAGGATAATTTACATTTAGTAGAATTATACAGAAAACTAAGTAAAGAATCAAGATGAAAATAATTGCGGTCCAAAACATCATAAAGCATACATGATTTTGAATGGAGTCCCTGAAGAAAGTAAGCAGTCAGAGGAGGAGTAAATGCCAAGCATTGAAGCACAGCATTGGCATAACAGCTGCAGAAAAGAAATAAAAGGGTATGTTATTCCACAAAGAAGCTTCTATACATAATGCACGTTACTTGAAAACTTAAAAAAAAAAGTAAATGGTGGGAATGTTCCATGGAACCATGCCTCATTCAGTTTTTACCAACGGTTCTAATTGTGTGTGTGTGTGTGAGAGAGAGAGAGAGAGGGAGAGAGAGATAGAGAGAGAGAGAGAGAATTTAGGAGGAGGGGGGGTTGTTCAATGTTACCTGTTCCCACAATTTATAAGACCACATGGTTGCAGTTCCACTTTGTTCCAATTATAAAGCTTAACAAACAGCTCATAAGGAAAGAGGCCCTACGGGAACAAAGAAAATTAAAGTAAACTAAATTATTCCAGTCAACTTACAAGAGAAGAAATTATGAGCAAACCTTGTCCCTGTATCTTCCAGCAACCTCATTCTCAGAGCCATTATGATAATGTTTTGGCAATTTGGATCCTTTCAATTGATCAACAACTTTCCTCAAAGAGGGTTTCAGTCCAAGCCTGCCATTAGAACCCGCTACCTGCGGTGAAGTAGGAGAAACTGCATGAAAAACATCTACTTTTCCAGATTTCACAATTGGAACTAGCTCCACTTTAACACTAGAAGATGACAGAGCATTAGCACTTGTTGGTAGACATTTGGCTTCTCCAGAATTCAGTACATGTGAAGTATGACCTGACTTTTTGGACCTTAAAGATGGTAAACCACTTGTGAAGGTATCACTTGCACCACTTGAACCCCCTTCAGAAACAGATGATAAATTAATACAAGATGAGGAATTTGGTGAAGGTTCAACATCTTTGGACTTCAAAATATGTGAGACATTGCTTGAGACACTCTCGGGCTGATTGGACCTTTCACACTTCGAGGAAGGGGTGCTCTGAGCTTCTAAATTAATATTTTCTGATAAAGTAGGCAGGACAGGATTGTCCAATACTACACCTTTAACCTTGGAGCCTTGTCCATGTGAGGAAGGAGCACAGTTTCCAGACAGATTAAAAGAAAACTGCAAGGTCGATTCAGAATCATATGATGTACTACTACAACCGCCTCTGGAATAAGACAGAGTAGACACATTGCCATCTTCCTTTCTGGACCCACCAGGTTCAAGTGTTTTACTCCAGAAACTAGGAGATTCTTCAGCAGATTGACCATCACATGTTCCATTAATGCCCAAATCTGAAGAAACAGTTGATGAACGTTTAGTCTCTCCATAATCAGGCTTAACCTGATTTGATTTAGAAAATTTATCTATAGAATTCATGAGATTAGCAAATTTGGGCGATGACGGATTGGTTTGATCCACATCATTAACACTAGAAACAGTCCAAAGCATGTCAACTGCAGCATCAACAGACTGAGGTTTATCTGATCTCTCAGTCTCATTTGAACTAATGCTCTCACAGTTAGAAGCATCGTCAGATGATTCAACACTGGTAGGAGGAGTAGAGAATCCTGAGAATGAACTGCTACAAGTATCAGAGGCAGAATCAGTTCCTTCTCTATCTGAATGGTATTCAACCTTGACATTACCATCCTTTGAGTATAAAATCCCATTAGAGTTACTGGTATCAGATAATGGAGGTTCCCCTGAAGCTGCTTTGGTTGGCCTTGCATGATGCTTTTCTTCACTCTCAAATCTGTCACCATAAATTCGATACTGCTCTTCTGCTAACTTCTGAACAGAATCACTTCTATCATTATCATTATGGGGTGTGGTATGAGCTGGTGGATGGCATTCTTCCTTGTGACCTTGTCGCCAGTGAATAATTTGACACTTAGCAGAACTAGAACATGGAAAACATGATGTGAACACGGTATCATGAAAATACAACGTCTTTATCATAAAAGTAGCTTTGCCACCACTACACAACATATAACTTTAATCTTTCATGTGTAAAAGCAAGAAACCATAGAAATTGCCAACTACCATCCCTACTTCAGCCTGAACAAATGAATCATCACCAAGCAATGAAGTAATGAGTAAACAAGAACAACTTGATGTAGCCATATGAAAGGCACTATCTTCTATAAATTGACAGAGAACACATATTTGTATACAGTCCATTAAGCAAAAATATGCTGTGTTAAAGTATTATTGTTAAGAAAAGAGCATACAAACTGATGGTCTTCGATAAACTACTCCATTCCCATGAAATCAACACCCCCCACCCCACCAAAATACACACACGCATAACAGCATAAAATTATTAAAATTACAGGTCCTAAATAATTCCCAAAAACTCATCCATAAAAAGGAAAACCATAAATTATTCAACATATATCAACAATTAAGTATAAAAAAAT